CTTATTCTCTTCATGTCTTATTCTCCTTCATGGCTCTTACTGCAAATGTTTTATATGTATTTGTTGTCATTAGGTTCAGTGTCTGTCTTCTCAAGAGAATTTACAGTGAGCGGTGAGGACTTTTTCTATTACTTTATATATTTTGTTTAACACTGTAACTACAGCATCTTGCACCATGCATGAATTGGCATTTAATTCACATTTGTTGAACGAAAGACCCATCTACCACTGCTGTTGATAAAATGAAAAGCCTGCATCTTTCCAGTGCACTGGAGTTGGAGTACCCTCTGCCGCACGCAGCCTGGACTGAGGTCTCACTGGTCACACGCAGCACGGCAATGCAAGAGAGACACTCCAAGCAGCCGCCAGCATCAGCAAGGGAAAAACACATGGGGCGGGGTGGATGAGAAGTCAGTGGAGTAGGAGGTTCTGGCTCCAAAGTGTTAAAGGAAATCTTTGAAATTCTCAGCCAACTTTGCCTGGGCTTATGGGCTTTCATACTATAGAAGATTTTTTTTTTCCTCTTTAGAAAGAACAGCCTATTTATTGATAATTTCCAAACACTAGTATACTCCAATACTGAGCCCCATCTTTCAAGCTGTGGCCAGAGTTCATGCTTTGTGGTTGCTTCTCCAGGCAGGCCATACCCAGACACTTGCCTGGACCAGGAGGGCCAAGTTTTGATGTTAACAAGGCCAGTCCACTGTACTAGTTTTCTGTGCTGCTCTAACAAATCACCACAAATCTAGTAGTTTAAATAACACAAACCAGTAGCTTATAATTCTGGAGGTCAGAAGTCTGAGGTGGCTCTCATCAGACCAAATTCCAGATGTTGGCAGAGCTTGCTCCTTTTGGGAAGCTCTAGGGGAAAACCTTCTCCCTGCCTCTCCCGTTCCCAGAGGCTGCCTGCACTCCTTGGCTCATGTCTGTTTCCTCAGAACCAACAACGTTCCAGCTCTGACCATTCCTCCATACCCACACATCCCTCATGTCTGTTTCCCTTAGCACTTTTAAAGACCTTTGTGACTATACTGTGCCCACCCACATATCTAGGGTAATCTCCCCATCTCAGGGACTTTAAATTAATCTCATCTGCAAAACTCTTTTTGCTATATAAAGTCAAATATTTATGGGTTCTGAGAATTATGACTCTGGGGGTTGGGGACACCATTCTCATTACCACACACATGAATAGTCCCAGGAAAGTCTCAAAATACAGGTGAAGAAGTTCTACCTCTGCCAGTTTCTATGTAGAGTTGAGGAATATAATAAGAAAAGAGTAAGGAATATAATACTGATGGATAAATAAAAAGAACATCAGAATCCTCAGGCCAAGGAAGTCCATCCTCCAGTATGCTGGCTGCAACAGTCAATAACAGCCAGCTGTGAAAACATTTGAGACCCTGAGAAAACTGTGTAAAATAACTGAGCACAGTGATCTGATGTATCTGATATTTGTTAATAAGAAATTCAGGGTAGTCAGAAGTAAATTTCAAAGCCATTTGTGTCAGGAATTATTTCAGCTACAAATAACAGAATAACCACTTAACAGTGGCCTAAGCTCTAATTATTCTCTGTAACAGAAAGCTCAGAGGCCAGCACTGGCTCAGAATGAGCAGGGACCCTGGCTCTATCTTTCTGCTCTTTCTCAGGAGGTCAGTAATGTCTCTCCACATGGCAGTCAGATGACAGCCATAATTCCAAGAAGCATGACCTCACAAAACATCTTCCCGACCACAACTGAAGAGTGTGAAGGGGAAGACCCTTTCTCCTCCTGCTGCTCCCTCTGCTATCAGAGAGGACACCCTTCCGGAGTAGCTTGTGAACTCGGCCTCAGATTCCTGGCCAGGCAGGTCACATAAACACACTGGAAATAGGGATGAGATTCTCTGATTGGCTTATTCCAACCGGAGTCATCATTTGGAATGGATATATCGCCCCCAAGCAGAAGTGGGCCCTGCTGAAAGAGAAGAGAGAATTGCTGTTGAGTATGGAACAGCCAACTGGGTCTGCGACAGAAACATTATTTTTAAAATGTGCTAATATGTAAATAGCCAGATCTCCATTCCAAATGAGGAAAACTTTGTATTCTAATCTGAGAAGTTTCTCATAAACTAGACCAGAGCCTTTTTGACCCTTAGATACACAGTTATGTAAGCTAAATTTATCTATTTTATTGCAAAAGTAAAAAAGACAAATGTGGGGAAAAAAGAAAAGACAAGGGTATTAAACTGTGTATTCATGGGCACAGGCTCATGTGATACACCTTGTCCATTCATGACAAATATTTTCTTGAGTATTCACAAAGCACCTGCACTGGTATGACCCTGACACTGTGACCACCTGTGGCACTACGACTGGTAATACTGGGTCTAAGAGACTCTGTCTGTCTCCTTGGGTAATTCCAATGCAGGTGGTTAAGAGTTACAACAGGACAAGAGCGAGGAACAAAAGAATGCTCTTCATGATAGGAAGACAACCTGGCCTAATTAAGGGGTCAGAGAGGTTTGGAGGATGTGGTGTTTGCAGAGATCTCCAAAGACAAACAGATTTAGAAGAATGAAGCAGGAGATGGAGACCATGTTGGGGTAGGGAAGAGGATGAAGAAATGCTCCAATTTAAGGAACTGGCTGTGAAAAATCCTGGAGATATGAAAGCTCAGGAAATTTTTGAAAACAAAGGTAATTCAGTATGCAGGAGCAGTATGTGACTACTGCTTGAGAAGACAGCTAACCTGAGGTCAGATGATGAATTTAGCTCAATCTCAAAGACAACAGGAAGTGATATAATCAGATTTTCATGGTTAAAAACCAAGAGGAGTAGATTTCTTCATGGGCCCCAGTACTCACTGTTTCCTGCATCTGTGCCCTTGCCATGATGGCATGGGTAGCTGAACGTGCTTCTCTACCTCTTGACTTTGGGCCAGTCCATATGGCTTGCTTGGGTTGTTGGCATGTGGGCAGAGGTGACCATGTGCCATTCTAAGCCCAGGCTTAAGAGACTTTGGATGCTTCCATTTTCTGTCTTGCACTTCTGCCATTGCCATGAGAACAACAACCTGTGACCAACTTACTGGGCCCAGGAGAAAGATGGGAAGCACACGGAGGGAAGCCACCAGCTGTTGCAGCCTGAAGCTGAGTTGGCCCACCTGCTCCCAAAATCTCATAAGGGAGGAGTAAATGTTTCACTTGTAAGCTACTGAGAAATTAAAGTTCTGCAGGATGTAGCATTATTGTAGCTGAGGCTGAGACAGAGCCACGCTAGAAGCAAAGGCATGTTTTAGGAGACAGTGCATCTGACAGAGAAATTCAAAAGATATTTGGGAAACAGAATTTTCAGGACACAGTAGTGTACAAAGGAGTTAGTTGAAGATGTCTATTCTTCTGTGTATGTAGAATGCAGACAAAATACAAGAGATAGGGAATACAAACAGGAGATGATAAGCTCAGTTCTGCTATATATGAGGCTTGTGAGACATCCAAGTGGAGACTCCAGTAGACATGGGGCTAGAACTAAGGAGAGGGGTCACAGTTGGGTCATCAGTGGACATACTGGTGGACACTAAAACAGTGGGTCTGGACAGGGACACTTGGGAAGACAACAAGGAGCTAGAAGGATGTGATGGAGGAGAGAACTTTGGAGAGGCCAGTGTCCAAGGACCAAAGAAGAGGCTCTAAAAAGACCATGGGCAGCCATGCAGGGCAGGAGGGAGGAAAGCCCAGAGAGAGTTGCTTCCCCCGCAAAGAACGAGTGTTCCTAAAAGGATCCTGTAGTCAATCCCCCAGGAAGCTAGTGAGGAAAGAGGCAAAGAACTTACAAGGAATCGCAAAGAATTTACCTACTTTACAAGGAAAAAAAAATAAAAGAGAAACTTTTGCCAAAAATCTTTCAACAACTGTAGTAAGGGCGCCAGAAGAGCTCTAGCTTTAAGTTCAGGTGCTGTGGCTTCCTGAGATATCCAGGAAACAAATAAAAGCAAAATCTAAGGGCATTTGGAGTCACTGTCTGGATGCCTGAGTGACCAGTGCTTTGGAACAGAATTCAGCTTTCCTGTAGGACATTGAGGTGTCATCCAGGCCACCCTGCCCAGAAGCTGGGCCTCTGATTAGCTCATGAAGCAGTGTCCGCCTAGATGCTGGACTGGCCTCTCAGTTCTCTCACTCATTTCTCATTGATCCAGGTGAACTTTCTGAATGCTGAGGCAGCCTCTCTTCCATCCAGCCTGGCTTCTGCTACTGAGAGCCATGGTGGCTCCTGCTGTCAGCAGCAGGGTGGCTCCTTGACCTTGAGTTCAGAAGTTTCTACACCAGCTGTGGCTGAGGGACCAATACCCCTTCCAAGCCAGGCAAGGGGCAGTGCTGGAGGAGAGGTGAACATGTGAGCTTGTAGAGGAGCAGGCACGAGGCTTGTGCTGGTGATGCACAGAAACAAACTGCCACCACACCCTGCACAACACTAGCTGGGCTCTCCAAGGATTACAATTTATTGCCTGGGCAACTGCTCAGTGCAAGGAATGCAGACTGAGTGTTGAAGTTTGTTTTCCTCTTCAATTGGAGTTGACATTTCCCCACAAATGAATTGCTTTGAAATCAAGAAATTGCAGCTCAGATAGTTCATAAATTTATTCCTGTTCCATCTTGTAGCGTTTATTATAAAGTCTGATCAGCCAAAGAATATGGTCTCTCTGCTCTTCATTTCCTGTTTTATTGAACCACCTTTTAAAATAGGGTAGTGGGACTAGCTCAGAGGCAGCAGATAGGGGTGTAGCAGAGCAGAGACAAGGGTTCTCTGCTCTGAGGGACATTCTCTGTTCTCCAGTCACCCATCCTCCTAGAGAAAGGGCTTGCAAGTGTCTTGGGACCAACTGGGCCAGGGGGCTATGGTAAAGAATCACTAGAACCCCAGCATCAGGTCAGAGGCAAATGCAGAATTCGAGGCATGGCCATCCTCTACTGTCCCCAGCCCAAGCAGTTATTCTTGAGGACAGGCATGGAAAGGGATTTTGGTCTGAGGGATGGGATCATAAACCCAGTAGTTCAGGAAGGCAGTCTTGAACTTTTGAAGGCCACAAGTCACCAGCCCTAGGGTGTATATGTGTGAGGGAAAGAGACTTATTAGTTATGTCAAACATTTATCCACTAGTGGAAAACTCTGGGTAGGAGTCTGGGGACCCAACAATGAATTCTCAGTCCTCCAAAAGGTTCCATCTTGATGGTCATCAGGAGCCAGGACTGGATTCTCTGCATGTACTGTAGAGAGCCACCCGGAAGTAGGGTCTGGGACGCCTTCTGCGCAGATTCCTTGGAGTGAGAAATTGTCTCCCATGTAGTTAGATGCAGATTCCTGAGACAGGAATAGGGGCCAGGATTCAGGACAGGAGCCCACCTCAATAACAACAATTGTAAGCTTCACAATTTAGCAGGCTGGTTAAAAATTTCTTAAACTGATGTCTTTGCCTTTGTCATTTGCTGTGACTGTGACTGTGGGGGCTAGAGTAGGATGTCAAGCTGATTGACTGGGATTTGTCCTGGGGATTGGTAGACTGCACTTCTGAGGGTGTCTAGGTGGGTCTTGGACATGTGACCTTGGGTACTCTAGCTTATCTTTCTCCCATTCCATTCTGGTGCCGATTCCCTTCTCTACTTTATGGCTGCCATAAACTGAGCTTTTTTTCTGCCATGATGCTTTTGCCTTGGAACCAGCCAACCATGAACTGAATTTCCCGAAACCATGAGGTAAATTAAAGCTTTCTCCCTTTAACATGTGGATGGCTGGTACTGTGTCACAGTGATGAGAAAGTTGGCTAGCACAGTGAGCTGACAAATACGAAACACTGTGTTCGTTTCTTTATTTGTGAAAAAGTGGTATGGATGCCTTAGGTCATAAAGTTGCTGAAAAATTCATGTCACATCTAAAGATGGCACTGCATGTCAAGGATGCTTAGTAAGTGTCAGCTCTATAATTTAGCTGTACCTGACTCTGTGTGTGTGTGTGTGTGTGTGTGTGTGTGTCTTTCAGAGGAGATGAGAAGGATAAAGAATACTCAGGGTCCACACCTTTGTCCCTGGCTTATCCAATTGTAATCAGCCCCAAAGTTAATAGACAACTTATTGTAAAGGAGAAAAAGACAGCAAAGTTTTTCCCATTCTATCATCTGCCCCATACTTAAGGTTTAATACTAGCTATAACCCCCACCCCACAAATACATGCCCAGGTTCTTGTGAAATAAATGGCTGGGGGCACCATCTACCTGTTACAATAGGACAAAATGAAACCTCAAATTCGTTAAATGATTTATCCTAAATCCCACATTGGAGATTACAGAAGAGTGTAAACCTGCACCTTGATCTGCTGAACTACAGACCTAGGCTTCCTAATAAATCACTTGTGATCTACTTCCCAGCAAGATGCATCCCCACAGTACTGAGCTGCTCATACAAGGCGGAAGGATTTCATCGAGCAAACCATGCTCTGAAATAGAAAATGTTGCCTCAGGCATTTTCTTGGATGCTTGATTTTAATATCAAGGCTAGTTCTATCCGTAATGGGCAAATATTATGCCATTGATTCTCTTAGGTTTCTGTGACAGCCAAGAACAGAAGCTGAAAAGCAAGCTAGCTCTGGAGAGTCAGCAACAGGGCATGCATGGTGCTGGCACATTTTTATTGGCATGAGCGGGGATACAACTTTGCAGTCCTGCTCATCTGTTCATCCAGAGGAAAACTGTGGCTTAAAATTACAGAAAATCAGTAGCTAAAATTATTAATAATAGCAAAAGAAGCTGTTTGTGCAGCAAGTAATTTGTGGTAATGTTTTATAATGGATAGTCTTTTCTATTACTTAAATTCTAATTACTCCATGTACTAAGCAATGTATTGACTTTACTTATGATGTTATGGAAGGCCTGCTAGCTTAAAATCATTCCTTATTGTGTTCTTTAGGTAATTAGAATGCAGTTTGCTTGTTCTATTTGTGGCTGTTTTTAAGACTGTGCCCTCTGGGAAAGGTATTGATACAAGAGTGACTGGTTTGCAGTTTAATGATTTTCTTACCAGTAGAATTCTCAGAATCCTTTTCTTACCTGTAGAATTCCCAGAATTCTTTTCTTACCTATAGAATTCCCTTGGTAATTGGTCCACATGATCTTGTTCTTTGTCTCATTTGCCCGTGTGTAAAATGAGAATTTCACACAATCTGTGTGTACCACTGCCCTTCAGTAGCACTGACCATATGGGTTCTGACTTTTCTGCAGACAAGTTTCTGGGCAAGTCCCTTCACCTAACCAGGGCTGCACCCTCCTGCCCAAAGGCACATTAGAAGAATAAAAAGAGTTTGTGGAGCTCTAAATTTGAATGAGTTAGGCAGGTGTATTGAAAGTTCTAACTGTTGAAAACAGAAAACAAAACAAAATTAAAACAGAAAAAGCGTAGTGGGTCAAAGGCACTGGATGATTCATGACCAACAGACATGAGTTGCCTGTTTCCGTGTAGTATTTCTGCATCTATCTGAGGGCTGAGTTTCACTATTTGATTCCTTTTAAAAGTAGGCTGCAGATAAAATCTATTGGGTCTTAGATGAGGCACAAGGCTGATGCTCTGTGAGACATTCTAGATTATTCTTCCAAGTTTATCTACAAGATAGGACTATTCATATTGTATTTGTTGAACCTGTTAATTGTTTTCAATTTTGTCTCAGGAAGGCAAGACTGGGTTAGGACTAAACGTTTCTTATAAAACATCAGCTCCAGTATGCAAATATAATGGATCACTTCCGTAGACTTAGGACAATGCAGGTCAATGAGTTTCAGCAACTTTGAGAGATCAAGCTCTTGGATTTGCATTTCATGTAACTGCTCCATTTCATGGCCTCATTTCACAGTCCCAGCTCCACCCAACTATCTTGCACTTACATATTATTGGACTGAAGTTTGGTGCTGAATTCTTGTTACTTGTGGACAAAAGGTTTTCCTCATCTCAGACCTATCAGTGTTGAGCAGCTCTTGACTCACAGTTGGAAATGCAAGTCTTTTGGCACAAGAAGTCTCACTGACCTGGTTGAACCATGACTTTTCAGAGGGTGCTCCCGAGCTCAGCAGCTGTCCTATCATCCTTCTGATCAGGTCTAATGTCAGACGCAAAAACCTTCTTTCAAATGTATTCTCCCAGCTTTGAATAAGCTGTCATGAGCCTTGTCAGCCCATCTTAAGATACCACGCACGTCCAGCACCTGCTGAGATGTTGCATACCTTTAGGAAAATGTAAAAAAAAAAAAAAAAAAAAGCAGACATAGCTACATTTTAAATAAGAAAATTATTCGACAACAAAATGTGTATCTAAAAAATTGACTTTTTCATTTTTCCTCTGCTGGAAAGTCTTTAAGAAATAATGTGAGCAAAACAACTAATTTTTGTTTTTTTACAAGAAATTAGTGAGAAGGGATATGCCCTAAGATTTGAAACATGCTATTAAGTTGAGTAAATAATCATTATGATCCAATTACAAAATGGCTAGGCATGAAAAAAAGATAACCTAGATATATACTTTGTTATTTATCATTGATCTATAAGAAAGGAGGAATTACAAATTCAAATAAATAGAATTGGAAAAGCTTAGTATGTGAGGAAGAACAATTAATTTAGATATTTCTCTCCAGTATTTAAAATATAATTTTCAAGAGAATGAAATAAAGGACAAATATGTGCACAATAAAGCTTCAAATATCAAAAGAAATCATGGAAAGATTTTTACCCAACATTTTCATGTCAAAGAATATTTTCAACATAAAAACAAAGGGGAAAGGTTAAATAGATTTCACTTACAAAAATTTAACATTTATATCAAAATCAGTGTTTATATTCAAAGCCAAATAAACTATGAAAATGGTGATCAGAAAAGGATTCTGGAATGATAGTAATGAGGATGGCATAGTTTTTAAGCCCCCTATGATTTCCACATAAAACAGAGTAATTAGTGAAAAACTGAAAATCCAAGAACATTTAAAACAAGGGTAAGTGACAAAATCACCATGAGCCCGAATAAACAAGCAGGAATGAACCATCCATGGCTTCCAGATCTGCAAGGCACCAGCAGACATGAAGGAGGGAGAGGAGAAAAGGGATAACCCCAAACTGACACCTGGAAACTTGGCAGGTCACCGTGGGGACAGCAGCTGAGCTAGCAGGGCTTTTACTCAATTGTCTTTGTCAGAGTTCTCCAGAGAAACAGGACCAATAGGATAGACACAGTCAGCCCTCCATCGCTGCAGGCTCTGCGGCAGGTCATGTGGGTTCAGCCAAGCACAGTTCAACAATATTCCTTCTGTATGAACATGAACAGACTTTTTTTCCTTGTCATTATTTCATAAATAATACAGCTACTTCTAGGGTATTTACACTGTATTGGGTATAAATAGATAATCTGCAAGTGAGTAAAAATATATAGGAGGATGTAGGTTATATGGAAACACTGCACTCTTTAACATAAAGCACTTGGGTATCTACAGATTTTGATACAGACGGAGTGTCCTGGAACCAGATCTTCATGGATACCAAGGGACAGCTGTATATTTAGATAAATAATAAAAGACTTACTAGCACCAGCTCATATAATTACGGTGGCTGATGTCTCATGCTATGTTGTCTACAATCTATAGATACATAGAGGATAATGGTGTAACTCCCAGTACAAAGTTGCAGGGTAAGTCCAGAGTTACAGGGTCTAAAGGCCTAAAAACCAGGATCTGTGGTATTAAAGGGCAGGAGAAAATGGATATTCCAGTTTAAGAAGAGAGACAGTTCACCCTACCCGAAATTTTTGCCTTATTTGGACTGGCATTCAACAGACTGGATAATGTCCAGACACCTTGATGAGAGTAGAGCTTCAGTCTAAGGTATTCTGAGGCTATCAGGTGTGTATGGTAGCATAAAAACAAATGGGTAATTACAGAGTATTTTATATGTCTCCTGTGTCCCTGAGAACCAGGATTATTGGCATGTGTGATGGGAGGAGCAGATTACCATGGATGAGGTTAAGTAAAATCTTTACAGTCCTGAAGTTGAATTGGAAGTATCAGTATACACTCACAAAAACGTACCTGTGTTTTGCTAGAATGTAAGTTTTCAAACAATCCACTACAGTGTACAAAATCACACATTAAAAACCACTGGGATTATGGTAGAAATAGGGATAAGAGAAAAACGCTCAAGAGCTTCATCAGTGACAAGTTATGAAAATGTAGAAATCTAACAAAAGTGGTAGCACACTCCTACATGTGTTAAATGGTAAAGAAATGTGTACATACTACAATAAACAGGGCAGCTTGCCATGAAAAAGACTGGGACTTTTCTTGCGGCTGTGGGTTTTGGAGGTGTAAAGTGGGGAATGGGGAATCATCTAGAACTGGGCAGAAAGTTGTCAGACCAGCCACGGATGGGTGCAGCTCATTATCCCGGTAGGCACTGCCACTGAAAATCAGTTACACGATCTCTTCTATTTTCATATCCTGGGTCAGACATCACCTTCATGATAGAAGTCTTTTATTGCATGCATTTGTAATAGATACTTGTTTCATCAAAGTTGAAAATTTTATCTAATGTTTCGTTAACTGTCTTTAGTTAACGTCTCTGTCACCACTGAAAATTCTTTCATTGCTTTCTCTGTAACACTCACCATTTCACCTGATAGCTAAAAACTCTGGAAATTGCAACGATGCTTGAAGTCACTAAATTACTCATTCGTAGTATAAAGGGTTCCTGCACTTTTGCAGGAGTTGGCAATTTCTGTTAAAATCTTTGCATATACGATGTGCTTTCTCTCTGATTTTGAAAAAGTTACTCCTGGTTTCTTTTTGTGCTTTTATGTATTCTTACATGGCTTAATGTGGCTTCATGAAGTTTTCTGAATGCACCTAACATTTCTCTTGTATAAAATCATTCATAGTGAAACACAAAATTTGTGTTATGCTCTACTTGTTCCCTAATATAACAAATGCATTTGAACAAATTAGAGTTTCAAACTAAATACTAAAGCCTAATGGAACATGTGTTGAATCTTTCTCCTCCTAGCTCTGTCCACCTGAAAGAAATTTCTACAATGACTTAGCTCTGTGGTATACCACCGAGCCATACCCCAACCCCTGGATGAAGACTTGAAATACTGTATCCGGCTAAAAGAAATCAGTGCTTCACGGAGAAATGTCTGGTTTCAGAACTAGAGTAGGAGACAAACCTGGAACAGGTCATTCTATACAGCAGGGAAGCTTTTGAAGATAACTAGTCACAAGGCCTCCAGAGCCAAGTGAGAAGGTTAAGTAAAACCTGGTGCCAAAAAATGAGACCTTTTATTTTGACAAGGATCAAAATTATATAAGCATATTTAAATCTATCAAATACATTAAAATCCATAGGTTTCTAGTGATAGTTGAAAATAACTGGCCACTTTTGCAAAATGAAAAGCATGTTTTCATTATCTTAAAAACTGATAACAAGAATCAAGTATTTGTTCTGTCTTTTCTTTGTGAAAGATACTACTGGGTAACCAAATCATAGATGAATAAAACCATCTCTTTGTGGAAGTGTTCAGCTCATAAAAGGAAATGATAGAATCGGAACATTACCATTTTCCAGTCCCTGATGAATTAATGGATCTAGGAACTGAACATCAACAGCTGCTAACATCGCAAAGAGGGAGCTGTGCAGACATTATTTGCCTCCTGATGAAAAACAGAACACTACCTATAATCTTACCAAAGGGATCAAATTTAAGTCTAATCAAGCCTGTGGATCTAGCTACCAATTTGCAGGAAATACAAAGCTCAAAGGAATGTATTGAACTGTTCCTTAAATATGCAATCAGCAAAATCCAGACTGTGGGAAACTTTGACAAGTTAAAGGCTCTAGTTCCTAAATGGAAAGTTTATAAGACTAAGGATATCTAAGTGGAGCATGGAGGTTAAACATTTTTCAGGCACAGTCAGGTTTTAAGAATTGGCGAGGCTAAATTATGGCATCTTCAGATGCATGTTTTTTGGTAGAGCTATAAAAACACAAGGGGAAAAATAAAAAGTAAAAACACAAGGAAGTGGTTGCTGTAAGAATCAGGATACTTAATAATTAAGGTAAACTAGAGAATAAAAGGAACTTTATTTCTGTGTGACTGCGCGTGTGTGTGTGTGTGTGTGTGTGTGTGTGTGTGTGTGTGTGTGTTACGCCCACTCCATGCCTTCACAGCGGTGCTTTTTCTAACCGGCTTTATTTTAGGGTTATGCATAGGTTTGCCACATTAGTCAAATTATGTTCCCTGTGGTAGCAACCATTGGGCCTTATAGCCCATGAGGCGGCACCTGAATCACACGGCTTGCTCTGGGCTAACCTTCTGCCATCTTCCTGTGGGTGGCAGCAGTTCCCTGGGTTGAGCTGAGTAGATATTTTATTCCCAGCTCCCCTCTGTAAAGTCCTGGGAAAATCCAGAGTTTGTTGTTATTTTTTGTTTTTTGTTTTGTGTTCCTCTATCCAGGAAAACAAAAGCAAATGCTGAGTTGTTGTCTTCACTATCCCTGCAAGAGCCCTGGAGTCCTATTTGGGTGTTTGATGACCAGCCAATTAGGTAAAGGTTGTTGATCAGAGTAGTGAAGGGTCTGGAGGAAAGGAAAGAGGGCAGGGATGTGGTGGAAGCAGCAGTGGAAGATGGAGCGGCCCACCCCGCCTGCTCTCTGCTGATGTTTTATTTAGACTGTTTGCAAATGAGCTCTGGAAACAGCATTAACAATAAATGAGATGCATTAGGCTGAGGAAAGGATGGGGAGGGAGACTCGGGTTTTTTCCTTGCCATACTGGTTTACCAGCTCCCTGCCTGGTCAGCCAAAGTGATTCTTCTCAGGGTCCTTACCTGCCTGCCCTTCCTCCACTTAGGGCTGCGGAGGAGGCCTGCATCCCGTTCAGCAAATAATGTTAAGAAGCTCAGAGGTATTTCTAACAGATCACAGCCAGCCTGAAAGGTGAATCCAACACAAAACCTGCAGACTGAGTACACTCATTCCCATTTCATCATTAATGTTCTCGTAACTCAAGATGTTAGGTAATTATCTCACTATGTTAAGACAATCAATCTTTTATTTATGCTATTAAAGCATAAATTAAGTACATATTAACCATGCACTTTCGCATGTATTGTCAAACATGTAACCCTCCAGGAATACAGTGACCAGTTTTATATAGAAACTGAGCAAGGTTCTGTAGGATCCAGAAGT